CCCCAAAACCCCAAAACCCCAAAACCCCTGAAACTCTTTAAATAATTGAAAGATGTAATATTAATTTAGCTTTTGGGACAAGAAATATCTGGAACAAATGCAACAGGAGAAACGATTTGAAATGCATGTAAAGAAGAGGGATATTAATAGGAATAATACTACCTCTAATAACCAGAATATTAGTTCCTGGTGTCTGGGATATTTCCCTCCAAATTTTATAGGAGATTTAAAGCAGACCCAAATGAAGATGGATCCCAAGTCTAACAAGATTTATGCTGTAGAGGAGATCACTCAGAAAAAGAAGAATATTAAATTAGGCAATATCTATGAAGAAAATGTAGGTACTCAAACTCAGCACTTTGAAGGTCAGGAAATAGGTGGGCCTAATAAGAACCAAGTAGTCATGTATTACTCAAATAAACTCTTCTACATAATTCCTCTTGAGAAGAGTTATACTTTCAAAAAGCAGCTGTCTCATGTGGAATTTTTATTCCAAGAGGAGCTACTGAATTTTAGTAATGATCCAGAGTATGCTCAAACTAATCTCAAACATCGTAAAAAGGCTAATGAAGGTACAAAAGCTGTGGAACAGCACAGTGAGAAAGCCAGAGCCGATCTAGGAGTCAACACTGAAGATAACAGAGAAGAAATCCTCAAAGATGCCTTAAGGAAGCGGAATGAGTAAATAAATGCAAAAAGGAATAAATAAGATGCTGATTTCGACAATGACGAGATCTTTCAAGATAATGAAGAGAATGATGTTGCACAGAAGGGGCTAGAGTATATTGAGAGTGATGGAGATTCTGAGATTGATAATTTCGGGAAGAAAACAAAGATAATACTAATGTTAAAGTAGCTGGAAGGACAGGAAGCTTGAACCAATATGGCAGGAAAATGTTGAGGTAAACCTAAAAGAATAATATTAACCTTCAAAAATAAAGAAACACACAGGGAAGAATCTGGCGATGATGATAGCGAAGATGGTGATGATATCAGCGATGGTGATGATGAAGGTGAAGGATCTGAAGATGACTAAGATTCTGACAAAAGAAAAGATATATCCAACAAGATAAGCATTTTGAGATTTTATGCATAAGATAACTCGTATTTTAAAGCTAGAAAACCTCCAGTTACTGAGGAATTCAAGTATTCAGGAGGATTAAATGATGAACCTGATTTTGAGATTGAAAATGATCAATATTTTCAGCCTCAGATTACAAAGAATCTTTCTAACTCGAGTGACCTATTTGCTGCAACACCTACTAATCAAGGGAAGCGTCAACGTGAAGAAGATGATGATACGTTTGGAGATGAGCCTGACTACAAAAGATTCAAAATGATTAAGACTTGTAAAAATGTATCAATCTATATTTTTAAAAGGGGTTTTGGGGTTTTGGGGTTTTGGGGTTTTGGGG